TGAATCGTTGAGAATTGGCCAAGCTGCAGCAATTTGCCAAAGCCATTGAAATTTCCAAGTGAAAGCATTGCTGTACCGTACGTCCACCAAATCCAAGTGGTGAAGATAATCATACGAATGACTTATTTACCCAGAAAAGCCACACTGAGTCTGAAGACTGTGTTTCAGGAGGGTCCTGCATCGGGATGTTTGGCGAATACCAGTTAGATTGTATGTTGTTAGCTATGAGAAGAGACGAGAGAACTAGGAGGAAACCCATGCAGAACAGTGGGAGAGAACGTACCAACTCCACGCAGAGAATCAAACCCCAGTCCTTCTTGCTACGAGGCCTGAGTGATACCACTGAGCCGCAATACCACCCAGTGTAGGCATGCAACGATGCACCATCGAATCATCAATTACAATCGATTCGTATTCTCACGGTATATGGCAACTCATGCGGTTAGTTCGTCTCATTGTTTGCAGAGGCGATAGCTTCCAAGTGCAGTAGCTGAGCCTCTAGCACAGTAAAAGTCTGCAAAAGCTCCGTCACTAACATCAAATACTATCGGATCAAAATATAACAATAATACACAGCCACCTTTGTCAATACACTAGCGATGTGAGGCCTCCCCATGCCGTGTCGGTCATGTGGAATGTTTGACCATACTTCACCACGCTGGTCAATGTGGGGGTTGCTCAAAGGGGGGGGGGGGCGGTTGAGGGTAAGGAACATCTCAAAACAGGAACCACCCTCGAGCATTGCTTTGAATATGAAACGTATCTCTTGAGGAGAGCCTCACTGATGCCCGGGTCTCTTTTGTTGAGGCGGTCTCCCTGCATCGGGATGTTCTCTGACCCAGTTTTCTTCGGATCGTTCGCGCCGCCCTTTACAATCACGCCGGCGGATTGCCCGTGAGCTTGCAACTAACGGTGCCCCCCTCAGATGTGCAGGGAATGTGCACGGAGAGCCTCCCTGGTTCGTCGTGTGCGAGACGAGCTACGGCAGCAGCCTTCACATCCCCGCGGTGACGGACATCCAAGTCAGTAATCAAATGGCAAGTAACGCGCGTACTACTTGCACCGGTGCATGCTCCCTCCACTGCTCGATGCTGCTGTCAAAGACAGCACCTGATGAGGGACCGTGTACTGTTGTTTGGGGTTTTTGTTTTTTAAAATCATCTACTATGTACAATATTTACTACATTTCGTAATCATTTGCAAGAATTGCAAAACGCTTGGTTTGTGCAAAAACATGACAATCGTCAAAAAACAACAAACATCAACGATAGCAACGCGAATATTCAACATAATAAAGACGTCAAACCAAACATTTACCCCCCCCCCCCTCTCTCCCCGCTGACCGGGCTCACGGCATCACACACGTGTCAGCCGGGTCACGGCCTATCACACACGTGTCATCCCGCTGCCCCATCACGTGACAAACAATGACTCAGCGGCTGCGTCGGGTGGTGGCGGGTTTAACGACACATTTACATCGACGCGATCTAACCCCAAAAGAAAAGAAAAAAACTCTTATGTGCATATTCATTTGCAGAGTGTCTAGTAAACACGCAAACGTTGAACCAACGTTGGATGACGTTAAGAAAACGTTGCACCAACGTTGGTTGACGTTACAGAAACGTTTTGCCAAATTTTGAGCCAACGTCAACCAACGTTGGCCCAACGTTTCAATGTTTACTGGACTGGACGCCGAACGTTGTATATTGTTACGTGTTGACAACAGCAGAACCCACGCCGATAATCCCGTCATTAAAACAGACTCAGCAGCAGCAGCAGCAGCAGCGAATGTCTCTGTGTGTGTCCCTACGTGCGTCTGGTAACAATATTCACAGCCCGCTCCGCCATCTGAAAACATATGATATGTGCTTTATGCAAATTACAACAATAACAACAACCAAGGTAACCGTTAAATTTTTTTTTTTAAATTCCAAACTAAAAACGATTTCCTCCTCGACCCCGGCGCAGCTTATCCGCACTACCGTTTACAACAAGCCCGCCCGGTCGGCGTTTGAAAATCAGTAGGCGGGATAAGACGCGCCGCGTGCCGGTGCGAGGGGGGAGCGCGCGAGTCCCAGGGAGCCCTCGCGGGGAAACGGACGAAATTCACCGCGTCGCAGTCGATGGCCACGAAGGCCAGGGGCCACCGTGAGCATGGCCCAAACTTCGTGGCAATTAAGCGGCCCTTAATTAGAACGCTCGACGGTCGATAAGTGCCGTGACCATCGCTCTGCGTAATCCAATTATTTATTTTTGTCCTGACCCCCCCCCCTCCTCCTCCGCCCACCACCTCCCACCCGAACAGCGAAATCTCTCCGTGGCGAACTCGCGCAGAGAGAATCCCTCCTCCACTCGCCCGCGGGCGGCGACTGCGGTAACTCGCTGGGAATCGCAGCGTCAGGGACAACGCGCGTCCGTCCACCTTTTTCGTCAACTCAAGGGGGACGGATCCGGCAAAAGAATCGCCGGAACTGCAACCGCGGTGAAGCCCGAACCGTCGGACACGTCGCCGAAAGAAATGCGCGCCCCATCCGCGCGAACAACATCGTGGGGGTGTCGCTGCGGTCCCACGCACAGCGTATACCACTACCCCCTCCTTGGACTGGCTGAACATAAACTTTGCGTTCAACTTTAACGCGTTTCAACAACCGCAGATTTTATTTCTCACCCCTCCCCCCCCACCACCCCGCTTGGGCCATGCGAAGCAGTGCACCACCCCGTGTTCGAGAACGGCCCCATCTCTTGAGGTCCCCACGTTGGCCTCTCACCCGCAACCATGTGGCGGCTCACCTTCTAACACGCGCCCTGCCTGTAGAGGGGCTTCGTCACGTGGCAATCCGAACCAAACATGTACATTCCCAGAGCTGGAATGAGCCAGCCGAGTTAAAAACCAAACATACCGAGCTTTAAAAAAAAATTTGCAATTATAGCCAGCCACGGTTGAGGCCATCTCAGCCCTTGAGAGCCCGGCTGAATCTGGGGCGGCTAAAACCACTGGGTTCGAACCGTGTATCTGAGACAGTGGCAGCCCTGCCATTCATTACACATCAGTTTTAAAAAAAGGGGCCGCGTGTGTGACGGGCGGCCTCCTTCCACCCCCCGCGTTCCAGATTCCCACGCTCAGTGCTCGTGCACAGGAGCTGGCGTCGTGAGCTTTGGCGATAACTGAGATGTGAGATATTGGGATATGCATGGGAGGAGGGAGGGGGCGCGAGTGGCGGTAGAGAGGGCAGGAATGGAGAGTGGGAGGTAGAGACGGGCAGCGATACGTGGCTGATTGCCAGACTGGTATTCAGCTCGGGTCGGCCTTCATCTAGTAGTGAATCGATCACGCCTGATGATGGTGATGATGAATGGGTACTTTTTGGACCGGAAACTCACAACTATCCACAAGCCCCCTCCCTCCCCTCATCGCCCTTCACCTTCTCCTCTCCCTCACCAATCAATCCTCTCTATTGAATAGGCTCAGTTGAAGGGAGGACAAGGATAAGCCTACGTCTGTTGGGTGACACGGAAGAAAGGAAATGTGAATACAACATTGTACAGAGTGCGTAGAGAGGGCCCACAGACCCTGTGCAATATGCATACAGGGTGATCATAATCTCACATTCCACCGAGTGTGGAGACCCTCTAGATTTCTGCGTGAAGCAGAGCAAGCAGCAGAGTTTGAGTTCAAATTCCGGAGAGGGTTAATTTGGCGTCATTACCAACACAACAAAGATTCCCCGTGTCGCCTTAACAGACTGTTCAAGCAAGTGTGGTTAGCGAGCACCATTACCACAACCACCATCCCCTCTCCCCCCCTCATCATTATTATCACCACCTCGCCACCGTGACGTGGAATTACTTCCTCTCACTTCGAGTCCAGGCTTCCACAATCCACAGTGCACCGAGCGATAACGGAACTGGGATCACAAGAAAGAAGACCCTTTTGGTAGCTGGAGCAGTGGCGCAGTGGTTATCGAACTGCACTAAACTCTCTGAGTCACGTGTCTATTTAAATGGCACATCTCTAGAATAAATCAGATACACGAAACTGAATGCACGATTCTAGATTTGAAGCTTTCGTGACTGCAATGATTCATACTCTTAGGTTTTTCGGTAAAGTCACGTAGGTAAAAAATAAATAATGATACATTTATAATTGAAATAATAGAAATAAAATCATAAATCACGACGTTTCGGAGGTAACACAAGTCTCCGTCATTAGGTGGGACCGTCACAGCTAGATTTACCGTCTCAAATTTATCTATTTTTTACCTACGCGACTTTACCGAAAAACCTAAGAGTATGAATGCACGATGGCCAGCAACTCACGGCGTGGAGGAGAATGTCAGTTTGTCTGCGTACGTCTGACACCAACGTGGCGACTTCAGCTGAGAAATTCTCCCTGATCAAGAAAGGTGGACACAAATTATGTATCGTGTGAATCACAGCTCTAATTGGTTGACGTGCTATGCCTGCCCCAAATCACAAAGCCATCTCGTTATGAAAACCAATGATTGCCGCGCGTGTCTAAACAGTCTGAATGTGATCCGCCAGAAATCGTGGAATTGCCCGTGCAGCTATAGTTGAGGTCATCCAATTTAAAACGCGAGGTTGAGGCAGTGGCGTAACAACATCAGCTCAGGGGCTACGGCAATCGGTCAGGTGGTGCCCCAATATTTGATTTGTCTCGCACGCTCGCACCTAGCCGAAATATCGCGGCTCCTCGTGCCTAATCACATCATTACATAGTCTTAGGTTTTTTCGGTAAAGTCACGTAGGTAAAAAATTTAAATTAATAAAAGTAAAATAAAACAAATTAAAAAATTCAGCTGTCGTGGCTGTGACGGTTCCACCTGAAGACGGAGGCTTGTGTTGCTTCCGAAACGTCGTGAATTTTTTAATTTGTTTTATTTTACTTTTATAAATGTAAATTTTTTACCTACGTGACTTTACCGAAAAAACCTAAGAGTATGAATCCTTGCAGTCACGAAAGCTTCAAATCTAGAATCATTACATAGGTTTGTGTTCTCTTACACTGTCGTTGAAAACATAACTCATGGCGGTTGTCAAGGAGGGGGGGGGGCAACTCGTAGCATTGGCCACCGGCGCTCGTTACGCCACTTGGTTTGGGGCCATCGCCTGCCAGTGTGGCTGCTTCGTGCTCGACAGAGTGGCCACCGGGTCACAGCATGCCGCGCGTTCACTATCACCACTCCGATATGAAGAAAAAAATTACATTTTGACAGTCACATCCATGAACCAACCAACCCATCGTATCACGCACCTACATCATCGTCGTTGTGAATAAATACGTGAGATTGTTCCTGCAATGTGCACAACAAAATAGAAGAGTTAAGAGCATAACTCAATACATTCGTCAATGACACTGCCTTCAAAGGAAAGGTTTATAATAGAGAGATAGTCTTTCTCTGGCCTCTCTATGTGCTATGAACAAGGGGCATCGCCTGAAACGTCGCCTATTATATAGTTTTCCTTTTAACGCCACAGTGTTATTGACAAATGAGTTGAGTTGTTTTTGTTAATTGTGCATTTGCACCACTGCCAATGCAGAAGCAGCGTCACCAAATAATTTGTTTAATTTTAAAAACAGAAAGGAAAGGTTGAAATCGGTGGTTCGCAAAGCGCGGAACACGAATCCAGTTCGCGTAGCTGGAGTCCCACGCCCCACGCACTCAGAGCTAAATCGAGCTGCAAGTTCATATCCAGTGCAATCCAGGTGTCATATACTCCGCGTATTTTGCCGTGCCTGTTTATCCCGCGTGAAGATTATGCCAAGGCCGATATCCCGCCAGGCCACAGCCATAAAATCGAACACTTATTGAGTCTGGTACGGTGCGTGAAAGGTTTATGTGACCGGCCGCCTTTGTCTCACCAGCGCTGATGCTTACCAACTACACCAACTACTTAGGTAAATATGAGTCTACCGAGGGAAGACCCAGGACCGGTTCTGATATTACTCGCCATTTATGGTAGCCGTGGTTGGGAATCAAACTTAGGTCGCTGGGTTCGTCTTTATCCCAACGCTTCTACGAAAAAAAATGGATTTACTCCGCAAATCCTCCCTGAGTCTCAACACTATTTTGGAGTGCCAACATACGTTGGGAGATTTGGCCAATTACCACCAATCCGGTTTTGGCTTCGTGTGGGACACGGAAACCAGAGAACCCAGGGACAACTTCGCAGGGCGCCGGACACGAGAGGGTGGATGGGGGGTGGGTGACACTCAACACTGCCCTCTCCTGGCAGCGGCCCCACGCCTACCACCCCCCCTGGTCACTCTCCCATCCAAGTACTGTACAGCACTGACCAGGCTCAAACCTACTCAGCTCCCGCGAGGCCGGGTGCATTCCGGGTGATTTCGTGGTGAGCATCGCACGCGCCCGCGTGCGGTGTGCGAAGAGTCCGCGGCACGTGCGCCTCGCTGGTGCCCGCGCTTCGTCAGCCAAACGTGGATGTAGTCGTGACGCATTGGAGTATAACATCGATCCTTTTACGCTCACGATGAACGAAAGCACCAAGTCACGTGCGTAACAATCTCTTACACAACCAATACATTCACCACGATGATGATGATGATCGTGATATTACTGATCACATGCAGTCTTATCAATCGCGTCGTCCATCATGCAGAATGCATCTCACCATCGCGAGAAGCCGGCGCTGCCAACAATTGCCCAAGCTACGCGGTCCTCTTCATAGTAAGATGTTTTCAGCCAATTGATGAGCGTTTACGCATGTGGGAGAAACCCGGAGCGGCCGCTCGTTGAAAACCCACGCGCGCGAGGGCGCAACACACTATCACGCGCAGAAGGAATGTAATGTTATCAGTCCGCACTATGCTGCACCACATTCTCCTGGTACATTTGTTTGCGATTCACCAATCCTGGCTGTTGGATTACAGGGCACGTGCACAGCCACCACCGCCGCCGACCGGCTGATGTTTAACAAACTATAGTTTGTTAAACATCAGCTATAGTTTGTTAAACAGCAGCTATCAATCGCTTCACAAATTTGACGAAATCAATTACTGGCGTTAATGCATCGAATCACTGGGTGTTTTGCGTGAACCTCTACACATATATTCACGCACAAAGACAAAGATCCCCCGTGTAGCCTTAACATACTGTTGGGGCAAGTGCTGTTAGCGAGAACCTACGAAGGCCGGCACGGTAGACGAGGGGGTGGTGGGCAGCTCCCCCCTCCCCCGGTCGCCTTTGTCTCCCTAGTGGTGATGCTTACACTTCGCACCAGGTACTAATTTTAGGTTGAGTTGACCTAGGGGAGGCCATTGACGGGTTCAGATAATCGTCACTGGTGTTGGCCGTGAGCGGGAATAGAACTCGTGTGGCAGGGGGTTGTAGCGCAGCGCGCTAATCACGATAATACCGCTCCCCACACGCGCGCACACACACACGCGCACATGCCCCACGCGATGTCACCTCTCCCCATAACCGTGTGTGTTGCGGCTGACGTTCGCTCGGCCAAAGCAACAGAGAAGTCGAGGTGAGAGTCGAACTCCGTTATCAAACCTGCGCGGTTCCGTCCAATTCGGCGCGAGCGAGTTTCCACTCCGATGTTCCTGGGCGCGCGAATCAACGCGCGCACGCCCGGAGATGGCGCTTGCTACGAGTTCGTCCCTCTCGCTCTCGGTGTCTCTCGCTCTCGGTGTCTCTCGCTCTCTGTGCCTCTCTCTGTGTCACTAACTCCACCGCAGTCTCCCCGCGCCTCGCGACGTCCACGGCGCCGGGAACCCAAATGCGGTGATGAACAGAGGTCCCAGGCTGGAGGCGCCTCCATGGAACATCAAACTCCATGGTGGAGCGCTGCTCCACAGTTGAGCGATGGGGGAGGCTTCCCTGGTGAAATAACCTCCGTGATTTAAATAAAAAAATAACAGACCTCTCCCGGGCGGGGTGCTGATCCAAGGTGGACCGATCTTGCATGATGGCGGAGCGTGTGCCCGAGACGGGAGCCACCTCCAAGAAGCGAGTCCACAACGCAACCTCCACGTGAGACCCACCTCCACGATGACGAGCAGATCTCCGTGGTGCGAGCGCGTCTCCGAGACGGAGCCACCTCCGCGACGAGAGGACACCCCCCCCCCCCTACGATGAGAAGAAGGTCTCCGTGGTCCGCCCGCGTCCGCCCTTCTCACGCGGCCACCGTCATCACGGGCTGATGCCTGCGGCAGAGCGCGGCCTTGAGCGCCCTCCAGATCTCCTCGTTGCGCAGGCCGTACACCACGGGGTTGACGCACGGCGGGATGGTCACCATGATGCTGAGGCTGATGGCGTCGAGCAGCGTAAAGAAGTCCGCCTGGATGACGCCCTGGTCCAGGAGGATGTCGAGCGAGAACTTGATGACCAGCGGCCCGAGGTAGAGCGAGAGCTGCGCGCCGTGCAGCAGCACGGTGGTGCGCGCGCGCTCGTTGGTTTGGTTGAACGGCTCGACGGCGAGGCGCGCCTGCCTGTAGATGCGCGTGTAGCTGAAGGCGAGGGCGCACATGGCGAACGCGAGCCACGCGCCCGCCAGGCACTTCCTGAAGAGCACGGGCGCGCGCGGGAAGCTCGTGTACTTCTCCAGGATGTCGGGCTCGCACACCACGCCGCCCGACAGCACCTCGCTGTACGAGCCGTGCTGGCCCAGCAGCCACACGTAGGTGAGCGACACGGCGAGCGAGAGCGACCACATGCCGAGCACCATCGCCTTGGTGCGCCGCGACGTGAACGTGGCCATGTAGTGCATGGGCCGGCAGATGTAGAAGTAGCGGTCGAGCGCCATGAAGGAGAGGTTGAGCAGGATGCAGAAGAGGGTGCCGAACGACACGAGGATGCTCGTCTGGCACATGAGGCCCGGCGACACGTAGCGTCGGCGCGAGAGGCTGTGGATGGCCTGCGGGATGAGCGTGGTGGTGAACATGAGGTCGCAGGCGGACAGGTTGCACAGGAGGATGTACCGCGGCTGCCACTGGAGCGCCTCGGCGCGCAGCACCACGGCGAGGAGGAGGACGTTGAGCGCCGTGGAGCAGCAGTAGAAGACGAGCAGGAAGGTGACCTGCACGGCGATCACGGCGTCCGACGCGAAGTAAACCCCCGCTCCGCTCTGGTTGCTGCTGCTGCCCAGGTGCCCCGGTCCCTCGCCGCTGGCACCGGTCGCGCAAGCGCGGGTGATGTTCAGCATCGTGAGAAGCGCGTGGTGGAACAATTCGTGTGTGTGTGTCTAGGTGTGTGTGTGTCTAGGTGTGTGTGTGTCTAGGTGTGTGTGTGTTTTTGTCTAGGTGTGTGTGTGTCTAGGTGTGTGTGTGTAGGTGTGTGTGTGTCTCGGCGTGTGTGTGTGTGTGTCTAGGTGTGTGTGTGCGCCTTTGTGTGTATGTCTATGGATATGTGTGTGCGTGCGTCTTTGCCTTTTGTGTGTTTATCGATATGTCCATGCACGTGTGTAGGTAGGTGCGTCGATGTGTTTGTATGTGTACGTGCACCTAGCCTGGCACACGCGTCTTGGTGACGTCTCCACCACTTAACGATTGGTGTACGTGTGTGTGTCGACGTCTTTAAATGCTCCTGTGTCTCTCTGTATGTTTACGCGTGTGTTTGTGTAGGCATGTGTGTAAGTCTCTGTGCGTAATGATATCTGTCTCTGTACATGCGCGTGTCTTGTACACGTCTGAAATTGATTCAATGCCTGTGATCCCGACTCGATGCCATCTCCAGGCAAACAATGTGACTCACAAAAGTGCTGCACTCATCGCCGCCGAGCAGCTGATATCATCCAATGCGGCCGCTCGTCCCTCCTCTGCTCCCCCCGGTTGTGAATGAGCGGTGCTCAGCGACGGCGGTCGTGGTGGAGAAATTGCGCTGTGAGTTTTGCGGCGCGGTGCCCGGAGAGTGAGAGAGCCAGAGGGAGAGCGCGAGAGAGAGAGGGGGGGGGAGAGCGAGAGAGTGAGAGAGCCAGAGGGAGAGCGCGAGAGAAGAGAGAGGAGAGAGAGAGGGGGAGAGCGAGAGAGTGAGAGAGCCAGAGGGAGAGCGCGAGAGAGAGAAGAGAGAGGGGGGGGGGAGAGCGAGAGAGTGAGCGAGAGAGTGAGCGAGAGGTGGGGGTTTTACGTAAAGCTAAGTTCAACAATGTAAAAAAAAACATTTACGAAATGATGAACGAAGCAAAGTGCCGACTACACCGAGCATCTTCTTGTTTCCACTGATCGTAAAAAAAAATAAAAGACAGAGACGAGAGAGAGGGCGAGAGAGAGAGGAGAGAGAGATGGAGAGACGAGAGAGAGGGCGAGAGAGAGAGAGGGAGCAGAGCTCCCTGGCGAAGGATCGCGCCACCGCCACCTCCTCCTCCTCCTCACGATCTCTGACGACTCCTGCCTCCGCTGGTGTCTCTACCTCTCCTTCCCTCGCTGTCTTTCCGTGCATCTCTGTGTGAACCCAGTGACCCTGTCTGCCCCCTCCTCGTGTCTGTCTGTCCCTGTCTGTATCAATGCGTCTCGCTGCTTGTCTCTGTCTCAACGTCCCTTTACCTGCTTCTCTCTCTCTCTGTGGCATACCTATGGAGGGTGCAGGCGGCGTCTTCTTCTCTTCTTTGGCAGTCCCTCGTCGATCAAGGATAGCTTCCTTCCACAGTGGTTCTGTGTATTGAGATGACTTACAGCAAATCTGGCTGTGACGGTCCCACCTGATGACGGAGACTTGTGTTGCCTCCGAAACGTCGTGATTTTTATTATTTTTTTTATTAATTTTAATTTCATTTTTTACCTACGTTACTTTACCGAAAAAACTAAGAGTACGACTGAAGAGCCCAATGTGAGATCCACATACTCTGCCGCAGGTGAGGCACGAGCTGCTCTGCACGGGGTGAGTGGGTGGGTGGATTGAGCTGCAGAGCGGTTCCTTTCGCTGAACCCGTTTGGCTTCCTTATACCGCTTGCCGGTGAGACTCAAGATGCACAATGCCCACCCGAATGCTTCTCCTCCAGTTTTGTGCGACCTTGAGCTAGGGATTCGCATGAGTTGAGGTCGCATGTTTTAAATGAGGCTAAAAGAATGTCCTTGAACGTTTACTTCCCTCCTCCTGGGGATCTCTTGCCATGGTGGAGCAATCTCGGCACACGGGCGACGTGACCCACCCAGCAGAGGTCGCTGTGAGTGATCAGCGCCTGAATGCGAAGGAGGTTGGCTCTTGAGAGGACGCTGTGACATTGTTGGTTCACCTGTCCTGCCAGCGAATTTGGAGCAGTGACGTGCGGTGAGGTCGATGGCTGGGGAGGCACTGGCTCGTGTCAGAGCCAGATTCACACACCGAGGGGGGCGTGGCCTCACGGAGGGGGCGTGTCCTCGCTTAAGGGGCGTGGTCTCACTGAGGGGGCGTGGCCTCACTGAGGGGCGTGGTCTAATTGAGGGGGCGTGGCCTCACTGAGGGGGGCGTGTTAGACACGCCCCCCTTAGTGAGGCAGATGTGATAGCTGCCTCCCCTGGTGCTTTTTCATTGCAGTTTCATGACGAGACTAAATATATTTATACACATACGTGAAATAAGTTACCTGGAGTATGGAAGGCGAGGACATGAAATGAAGGCGTCTACAAACATTACATTGGTGACATACTGAGATAGTAACAGGCACGCTTTTATTGCCCGCGCTCCATCCAGTCACTGAGGGGTTGCGCAATCAAAGGGGAGGCGGAACTCGTCGCTGCCTCACCTCTCGTCTCTTCCTGTATTTGCAGCAAAGCTCCGCAAATTTGGAGATTTTTACTATAAAAAAATGATTGCAATCGTACAGAAATTACATTTATAACACAGATCAGTGGAAAAATCTTAATATTTATTTAATTTTATTATTCTTTTTTTTTTCGTAACAGCTATTTTCATTGGAGTATGACAGATGAGGCTCTGCCTCCCCTGCCTCTCGTGACCACACGTCCCTGATTTGGAGTATCTTTCGGAGGCAGCGTTTGTGGTACTTCTCTGGTGCTTTGAAGTGCTTGTTGTAGGTTGTTCATGCCTCTGAAGTATACGGGAGGATGGGGATCACTGTTGCTGAGTCAACCATGAGCTTGGTATAGGCCTTAAGGTCCTGGTCTTCGAAGACACACTTCCTCGGGCGGCCAAAGGCTGCGCTAGCACACCGAAGACGATGGCGTTTTCAGCAATCTGACCTTGATGTGACTTGATGCGCACAGACTACAACTACTGGAAGTACAAAGTCAAAGATCAACCGTGTAGCCTTAACAGACTTTTGGGGCGAGTGCTATTAGCGAGCACATATGAAGGCCAGCACGCGAGGGGGTCGGTGGCCAGTACCACACCGATCGCCTGTCTCCACAGTGGCGATGTTTACACTCCACACCAGGTACTCATTTGAAGCTGAGTCGACCTAGGGGAGTCCGAGGACTGGTTCAAATAATCGTAACTGGTGTTGGAATCAAACTTGGGTCGCCAGGCCCGTAGCGCAGTGTGCTAACCACTGTGCCAGGGCTCCCCCAACACTATGTACACACAAACAGGCAGAAGACAAAGCCATAGAATCCCAGCATAGCCTACACAGGCTGTTGGGGCAAGTGCGATTAAGACCGGCACGGCGCACTGCTTGGGGTGGTATAGCCAGGACCGTTCCTGGCCACCTTTATCTCACCCAGTGACCGACGTTTCCAGGTACTAATTTCAGCCTAAGCCGACCTAGGCGAGCACACGTTTTCACACATATACACACGTTAACTGTCATGCCTGTCTCTCTACCAGGGCACGTGTGCACCGCGCAAACACCAAGGTAACATCGTGCTCCCGACAAATAGGCGACCCCTGTGACCTCGTTGCAGAATTAGACCGTTGCCAACATTTCCCCAGTGCCCTTGTTTAATCGTGACCCCATGGTCAGCAGCGTAGCCTGGTTGACATTGGCAAGACATTCAATGGGGCCACCCCTTGTACAATTTCCCACCTCTTCGTGGCCCGTGGTGCTGGGGCCCCGTGAGCTCCGACACACCGGGATGCAGTTGCACCGCCTGCACACTCGGATAGCTACACAACTGCCCATGACCCGAGTGCCCTCCTTCAACTGTTTTGCCAGTGCACCAACGTGACCCTAGTTCCATATGTTTAACCAAAATATATCCGTGGACCAGTGGTATAAATTCCACGTTTCTATCACAGAAACCAGTAATTCCATAGAACCAATGCTGGTTTCCTACGAAATCTTGAGTTGCGGTTCAAATAAACCCTCCAAAAACTCCCACAATACCCTGCATCGATACTAAAAAAATACCACGTTTACATGTCCAGAACAGTGAGTACAAACATATAAATACAAACTGCGGGAAAGTCAAACCAATAAATCCAAACAAGTGTGAAATTACCCCTACAATATCACCACCATCGTCATTACCACCGCCTCGCAACTGGAAACGATTATCTAATTATATACACATACACGTGGTGATCCATTGATAGATACGCCACTGAAACAATACGGTGACATCACAGAGAAAATACATTTTTATTTCAAATTCTCCACATCTCCCACCCAAGGCTTATTTTTAGCCACAGCTGTCCCGGGGTTGAGCTGCGGGAAATATTTCCTCTCGGGATCAGGGACGTTGAGAGTTGGGAGGAGGGGCTCGGAAAATATTCCATGAGAAATGAAGCCTCACTTCCACCAATCTCAATCGATTTGGGGAAAAAAAATGTCAAGGCACGGCCCTGCAATTGCTTGCTCACGCTACCTGGTGGTGGAAGCGCCTAGGTTGGAGCGAACTTTCGAGTGGTATTTGGCCTCCTCTTCCACGTTGACCAGACGTGTTGGAAGTGATGGGCGTACCCACACTTTACCCCACTGCACGCATCTTGCCGGTCGACGTAGTAACATGGTGTGTACCCATTGCAATGTGGGGCGGACGGAGGCGGGTGCGGGGAGGGTGGATTTTTTAAAAATTGTTCAACTGCCGCGCCGGGCGATGGAATTGAACAGGCAACTATGGCACCACAGCAGCAATACCTCAACTAAGCACATGTTCAAGCTCAGCTCTGGTTTATTCCACGGACATCACCAAATGATTTGTATAATTACTCAATAAGTCGATTTACCACGCACTATTGGATGTACGACTTTCTCCCAAACCAAGAAAAGTCATCGGTTGGTGCAATCTTCCTATTCCTTCACATTGCAGCATCTTAATGTTCATGTGGGGGTTGGTGAGCCAGTGGATGACTTCAGGAGCAGCCGCATGGTGCACATTTCAGATGCTGCCGGCGAATGATCAAAGTCACCTATCCAGGGGTTTTTTTTACCGGTGGCACACCACAAGGGCAGACAGGCGAAGACAAAGACGGCTCATGATGAGCAGCAGGAAGACAGAAGGAGCGCCGGGCAGGAAGGGAAGGAGGGGGAAAAATGACCGGGCCAAGATGTCAGGGATGAAAGGGTGATGAGAGAGGAGGGAAGAGAGGGTTAGAGGAGGCAGCAGAAATTAGCTTTAACTGGAGCAGCATCGATTAGCATGATTGGCTCCGTCCAGTGCGAAAGAAGTTCAAGAGACATACATGTTTTCACAGGGGGTAGCGAGGAATTTAGAGTGGGGGTGGCCACGCAGACATCAAGAGATGTATACGAGAGACTTGAGCTGATTTTTTATATATAGATGTTGGCTAACATATTACACAATGAGCAGAGGCACGTAAGGGAGGGGGGAAAGTAATTAAGGAGGGGAGTGGTACTGCTCTATTTGACGGTGATGAATGAGACACTGAGAGACTCATGACTGCAGAACTAAGCGCGGATACCCGTTAGGGTGGGACCAAGCATTAGCACTGGGGAGACAAAGACGGCTGGGCGTGGTACTGGCCTCATCACCTACTTGTTCGCCATGTGGAATTGAACATGTGCTGGCGAACAGCACTTCCCCAAACATTTACAGGATGATAAAAT